AAAATATATGTATGTGTGTCTGTATGTATATATATATACACACACACACACACATTTTATACAAGTGTAATTAACGTACAGTGTTACATTAGTGTCAGGTGTACAATATAATGATTGAGCAATTCTGTACATTGCTCATCAAGATAAGTGTACTCTTAATCCCCTTTATCTGTTTCACCCATACCCTACCCACCTCCCGTCTGGCAAACACCAGTTCGTTTTCTGTATTTAAGAGTCTGTTTTGTTTGTCTCTTTTTTCACTTTGTTTTGTTTCTTAAATTCCACCTGTGAGTGAGAGCATATGGTATTTGTGTTCCTCTGGCTGACTTATTTCACTTAGCATTATACATCTTCTTGCTCCATCCATGTTGTTGCAAAAGGCAAGATTTCATTAATTTTTATGGCTGAGTAATATTCCAGTCTGTGTGTGTGTGTGTGTGTGTGTGTGTGTGTGTGTATCACACATCTTTTTAATCCATTCTATCAAGGACTTTCAGGTTGCTTCCATATCTTGGCCATTGTAAGTAATGCTGCAGTAAACATTGGGGGGGGGTGGTATACATATCTTTTCAAATTAATGTTTTCATTTTCTTTGGGCAGATACCCAATGGTGGAATTACTGGATCATGTGGTAATTCTATTTTTAATTTTTTGAGGAACTATACTGTTTTCCACAGTGGCTGCCAATTTGCATTCCTATAAACAGTGTTGGGGGTTCCCTTTTCTCCACATCCTCACCAATACTTATTATTTCTTGTGTTTTTTATTTAGTCATTGTGACAGGTATAAAGTGATAATTCATTGTGGTTTTAATTTGCATTTCCCCTGATGATGTGTGACGTTGAGCATCTTTTCATGTATCTGTTGACCATCTGTATGTCTTCTTTGGGAAAATGTCTGTCCAGGTCCTCTGCCCATTTTTTAATTGGATTATTTGGTTTTTTGGTGTTGAGTTGTAGAAGTCCTTTATGTATTTTAGATATTAACCCCTTATCAGAAATATCATTTGCTGGAATATTATGCAGCCATCAAAAAAACCCCTTGAAATCTTGCCATTTGCAACGACGTGGATGGAACTAGAGGGTATTATGCTAAGCGAAATAAGTCAATCAGAGAAAGACAAGTATCATATGATCTCACTGATATGAGGAATTCTTAATCTCAGGAAACAAACTGAGGGTTGCTGGAGTGGTGGGGGGTGTGAGGGATGCGGTGGCTGAGTGATAGACATTGGGGAGGATGTGCTATGGTGAGCGCTGTGAATTGTGTAAGACTGTTGAATCACAGACCTGTACCTCTGAAACAAATAATACATTATATGTTAAAACAAAACAAAACAAAAAACGGAAGATAGTAGGAAGGGACCAATGAGGGGGGGAATCAGAGGGGGAGAACCATGAGAAACTATGGACTCTGAGAAACAAACTGAGGGTTCTAGAGGGGAGGGGGGTGGGAGGATGGGTTTGCCTGGTGATGAGTATTAAAGAGGGCATGTATTGAATGGAGCACTGGGTGTTATACGCAAACAATGAATCATGGAACACTGCATCAAAAACTAATGATGTAATGTGTGGTGACTAACATAACATAATAAAATAAAATTAAAAAATCATTTGCAAATATCTGATTCAGTAGGTGGGATTTTTGTTGATGGTTTCCTTTGCTGTGCAAAGACTTTATTTTGGTGTAGTCCCAATGGTTTAATTTTGCTTTTGTTTCCCTTATCAGAGAAGACATATCTAGAAAAAGTATCTACCACTGATGTCAAAGAAATTAGTGCCTATGTTCTCTTCTAGGAGTTTTATGGTTTCAGGTCTCACATTTAGGTCTTTAATCCATTTTGAGTTTATTTTTGTTCATGGTATAAGAAAGTGGTCCAGTTTCATTGTTTTGCATACAGCTGTCCAGTTTTCCCAGCACTGTTGTCTTCTTCCCATTGTAAATTCGTGCCTCCTTTGTAGTAATTGACCATAAAAATGTGAGTTTATTTCTGGACTCTGTTCTGTTCCATTGACCTATGTGTCTATTTTTGTGCCAGTACCGTACTGTTTTGGTAACTACAGCTTGGTAGTAGTATATCCTGAAATCTGGAATTGTGATACTTCTAGCTTTGTTCTTCTTTTTCCAGACTGCTTGGGCTGTTCAGGGTCTTTCGTGGTTCCATACACATTTTAGCATAGTGTCTAGCATATGCTATTACTGTTTTGGGAAGTTACCATTTACTTATTTATATATGCGTGTTCCCTGCTCACTTCCCACCTCCAACCTTGTCCTTAGCACAGTGCCTGGCATGTAGTAGGTCCTCTGAGCATTTTCCCTGGTGATACAATTTCACATATTATCTTGAAGAAAGACATATTTAACTTTGATGCAGAATTATGTACTTTGTGGTTCTGTTTCACTTCATGTCCTGATTGTGTGCCTGTCCTCCGCATGTGCTTTGCCAAGTGGCTTCCTCAAGAAAGAAGCAGGGGGTGGGGTCTTGAATGCTGAAATACTTGAATCTCCTTGTTGTAGCAGTATGCTCTATACACATCAGGTCTTCCATAAACGTTTGTTGAACGAATTAAAATCCTTGCCCCGGAGCCGAACCTTTTGGGGACTTTGCAGGTGGCAACATTTGTGTTATTTACTAAATTCATATTTGGGAGAAAAATGAGTCTTAAATTCCTGTTGACTCCTTTGGGATGTACACTTAAAAAACTTAAATGACAAAAGTCCTTAGGCCTCAGAGAGATTTAATACTTGCTGTTGTGTCCAAGAGTTTTAAAAATGTATGCCTGGGTGATAAATTGCGAGAACTTAAGACTTGTTCACGTTTAAGTTGGTTTTTAGAGAGCACATCTGTAATTCTGTATACTAGAGGGTCATTTCTAAGAATATGGCGATCTCATTCAGAGTTGGATGAGCTGCAGCTTAGTTGACGTTCACCCAGCTCCAGGCCAGGCTTCAGAAGCCCTGTCTGTGGGACTCTGTTCTCCAGGCTCTAGTAACTGGAACGAGTAATACTTGCAGCATGCTGCAGAGATGCATCACGGACGCTCAGGGTAGGACGCCGCATGTTCTCACTGTTTGCCCAGTGCGCTTGGGCGCCTGGGAGTGGAATCATGATAAAATAGTCAAATCACCTGAGTCTTTTCTCTTAACTTCCCGTTTCCTCTCTGTCTTTCTGTCTCTCTCTTTGCCATTTGAAACATGTATTTCATAATTGCATATTCTCAGTCATCTTTTTGAAAATTTTTTCCTTTATTTCTGTCTCATATGCTTTCCTGGTCTTTTCGACTTTAATTTTTGTATATAAATTGTGAGACTGGTACAAATATACGAAAGATAAATTCGCTATAAAAATTTATTTCTTTCTCTTTTTGCGGGGAGGGTTCTTTCTCTTTAGTAGAAATGACAAGCAGGCAGATTTTATGGCTTCACTAGTCCTGCTGGCAGTGGCAGACGGGTGACAAGTGCCCACTTTCAGAGGGATGGCTTCCTGGTGGGATTGGTCAGGGTTCTACTTGAAACCACGTTAATACAAATGATTTCTGTCTACGGAGGAGACCCCGCATCTCTGCTGTGGGGTCAAGTGGAAGTCTCTACTGCTTCTCACTTAAAGCCCTCATTTAGAATAAAGAAATGCAAATGTACAGACATAATCACTAAATGTATATATAACACTTTTAATTTCTCAGGTCTTTGAGCTGTGCCAAAAAACGCGCCCCCCCCCCAAAAAAAGCATGCTGTTTACCCCCTAAGGGTTTTATGCAATGCTAGGTTTAACTCTGTATTATTTAGGAGATTTGAAGAAATTTAGAAATAGGGCTTTTCCCCTTGTGTATTTCACCATCAGCTAAAACTGAACATTTCTGAACCAGAATTCCTCAGCTTTCCCAGCTCCTCCTAAACGGGTTCCCTTCTTTTGTCCCCTTTAGTATCACCATGTTGAAGACTGCCCAGCCAGGTGTCCTGGACATTTCTCTCTCACCTTTCGTCTTGGGTTAGTAGAGTAAGTGCTAGATGGAGTCAGGAAATCTGAATTCTTGAGCTGGCCATGTTTAAGTGATTTGAGCTTTATCATCATTCATTTCTAAGAACCCATGAAGATCCTTTGTTTCCTACCCTTAAACATCCTTAGCTCTCTGTCTTCATGTGATGATGCTTTTGGGGGAAGGTCTGCCCTCATGTGGCACCTGCCAGAGTGACCGTCCCTTTCCTTCCCCCTTGCACACACCCTCTGGTGACATTTCTTGACAAGAGGCTATGGCCCCTCTGGCTTCATTCCCAGGTCATCACTAGAGCAGACTCAAAACTCCTTGATCCTTACAGCTCCTCAAGAAATTCTTACTTCACAGGGCCTCAGTGCTCCAGGTGTGAGTCTCCTGGTGGCACATGGAATCGCCCCTTCTTCATTGGCCAACCCCATTGAGGGTGGCCTCCCATTGTAGACTGCCATCATTTCCAAGGCCCCTCCGTGACATAGCATGATTTCTGAAACACAGAGTTGGCACTAACATGTTTCAGGATCTAGTTCTAGAATCTTCAACAAGAATTCTTCAGGGAGACTTTCTGTGGAAGTAGATATGCACCTTCTTTGGGGTAATGTGTTTATAGATAACTTTCTTATTATAGGTGTGTGTCATGGTGTCATACGCTTTCCCTTAAGTAAAAATCGCAGTTTCTTGGTTTGTATTTTTAAAGACAGCTCCTTGCAGTTTATGATCTATTCCATATAGTCTCTCTACTTGGAGGAGATGAAACATACTGTAGATAGTTGGTCACTTGGCAAGTGCTGGTTTTGAGAAGTGAAATCGCAGCGGTGTAGGGGTTTTCAGAAACCCTATCAGATTCCTTTGTTTTCTAATAACAGTCATTTAAGTTCCCTTTAAGTTCCAAAGGGCTTTAAATAGCTTAGGCAAGTATTTATAATGCTCAAGAGTCTGTTTACTATGTAGCTTTGCCAGTGGGATACATGTGTATATGTATTTAATTAATTTTTTTTTTAACTACAGGAGCTCTTACCAAAGTAAAGGAGAGTAGGCGACACGTGGAAGAAGGGAAGATGGAGCTGCAAAAGGCTGATGGCATTCAAGATCGCTGTAACACTATTTCTTTTGCCACTTTGGCTGAAATTCACCACTTCCATCAAATTCGAGTAAGAGACTTTAAATCACAGATGCAGCATTTCTTACAACAGCAAATAATATTTTTCCAAAAAGTGACACAGAAGTTGGAAGAAGCTCTTCATAAATATGATAGTGTTTAATGACTGGTCACTGGGTTGTGGACTTTTTTCAGTTCAAGGATATTTCTACAGCAGAATAAAAACTGCTATCAAAGAGCTATTGCCAACTATCAGTGGTGGTACAAGGATGGTTTTGTGTTCAACTGAAGCTCGGCTGAATATATAATTATGTAGGAAAGAAACAGTTAATATGGTTATATAATAGAAACAGTACCACACATTGTAACTAAATTATACTATGTATGCCTACACTACCATTGTAACTTTTGGAATAATGATTATACTATTTGCCTTATTGCTTTTTGAAGTATGGGTATTTTAGTGCATACTTTGTAGACCTCAAAACCCATGAAGGGTCTCAAAGAAGCTGGCTGGATAAAAGCCTGCTGTGGATGCCTTTTTACTCTCATAGATTGGGATTACCTAAATTCAACCTGTTCTCTGTTTACAAACTCCAACTAGAGCAGCTATGCGACTTTGTGCCTTTAAACTCTTGGTTTTTCATTTCTCCACCTCCCTCCCTTTTTTTTAAGTAACCACAACTTTTCTGATCGAAAGAGTGAAAGGCTAGTGCATATAATGACAAACCTGTTGGTAACCTCATATTGGCGCTGGGGGCAGGCTGGGCGGATCAGCTGTCATCGGTTTTCACGGCAAGTTTTGTCCCCTGATACACGCTGGTGAGCGCAGCGGAGGGAGGCCTGATGCTCATCTTTGAACATGAAGTCTATTAGGGAAGAAAATGGTGCCACTCTATTCCCTTAGATGCTGTAGTAACATAGCCTCTTCAATCAAGTGTCCTGGAGACTTGGCGTGGAGGTTGAAACGAGCATGTCTTATAACACAGAGAAGGAGGAGTCTAATCGGTTGGGGACACAAGCACAGAATCAGTGATGACACACACTTGGTTTTAATTCTTAGGAGGGCTTTCTTTCTTTTTTTTTTTAGCTTGAAGATTTTAATATTCAGTTTTTTCTTTTTTAATGGATCTACACTGTTAACTGATTGAGACTCCACTGTGATTCACTCGTTTACTTAATCAAAAACTTTTCAGGGATGTCTGTAAAATTCAGTGTTATACGTGATTGAAAGTAGTGTTGGTTGATCTAAAGAGGGACCAGAAATAATTTCTACTATTCCAAATGCTGAAGGAGAAAAAAAATAATTGTTTTTTTTTTTAAATATTGATAAGCCCCCAGGACATTTAACTTTAAAAGTTATTTTAAATATATTCTTTTATTATTATAAGGGAAATATGAATGGCTGATAAATACCAAAAAGATTCAAAAGCAGCTTAATTTAAAAAGCACAAAGAGATTCTGGCTTCAGATGCCAAAATCTCAATGTTTTTATAGTTGCTGAGCTATAAATAATGTGATTTTTGAGTTTACAGATTTAAAAATTGTCACTGAAAGGTTAAAGTATCTACTGTTTTTATGAAGTCAGACTTATGCTGCCTCAGAAGTCCCTGGATATTGAAATGGTAACACGGAAGTAAAGAGGTCAATTTGAAATATTGGTGAGTCACATTGATTAAAAAAGGAAGGGTCAATTTGCAGACAGTCAAAAAAGAAACGGTTATTGAAATAATTACTCAATAGCACATTTACTCTAAAAAATCATCTCATATGGGTTGAATTTTTATCAGACTATCGTAATTTTGATCGAAATTTTATACCTTAGGTAACCTAGAGCCAGATTTAACATCATGTGGCTTTGTCTCTACTCCAGATACATGGGATTGTAACCAAATACATTGTTCTCTCAAAAGTAACTTCCTCTTGTTGATTGCAAAATACAGTTCTATAAACAAGA